TCATATCATCATCATATCATCATCATCATCATCATCATCATCATCATCATCATCATCATCATCATCATCATCATCATCATCATCATCATCATCATCATCATCATCATCATCATCATCATCATCATCATCATCATCATCATCATCATCATCATCATCATCATCATCATCATCATCATCATCATCATCATCATCATCATCATCATCATCATCATCATCATCATCATCATCATCATCATCATCATCATCATCATCATCATCATCATCATCATCATCATCATCATCATCATCATCATCATCATCATCATCATCATCATCATCATCATCATCATCATCATCATCATCATCATCATCATCATCATCATCATCATCATCATCATCATCATCATCATTATCAACATCATTATCATCGTCGTCGTCGTCATCATCATCATTATCATTATCATCATACATGTCAGCTAGAGGTGGTGAAACTCATCCGCTATTGCACCGCAATACATAAAGGAAATAGGTACATACATACAATACATAAAGAAAAAATAAATACGACAGTTGCACGACAGCTGAGCTACCATCAACGGGTAGGCATCGTTCCGCTAAGCTACCAGCCAGCTACTAGGGAAAAAGAAAATTTATTATGTTGTATGCTATGAAATAAGATCGTAGATGGAGGAGTAGGCTAAAAGTGATGGGGAGGGACAAAGAAACTCATAGCAGGAACGCCACTGAGGTCGGCTCCTTGCCATGTCAGCAAGTGTATCCAACCCAACGTGTTCACCGTCTTTTGGACCCCAACCAGGGAGCCTTGGCGCTCCAACCGAGGCCAGCTCCGAAGTGAGGGACTTCATTCCTCTGGACCAAGTCATCGCTTGGCCACCTCTCCTCTTCTTCCACCCACATCCCCGGTGAGCAAACAACGCACGTCGAGGGAGTCGGTGGGCTGGCATGCGCAACACGTGGCCCAGCCATCGGAGCCTGGTGCGTGAAATGACGGTGTTGAGCGGTTCATTCCCTTTTCCTGGGCCGTAAACAAGGCGTCGAACACACTCGTTACTCACGCGGTGTTCCCACCAGATGTGAGACAAACTGCGAAGGCACCGATGGTCGAACGTAACTAGCCTCTTCATGTCCGCCGATCTTAGGAACCAGGTTTCGCAACCGTACAGTAAGGTCGAACGTACCGCTGCATTGTACACTCTACCCTTCAGGGCGAGAGTAATGTCGCGCCGCCGCCATAGGTGGCGAAGGTTAGCGAAAGCACTTCAAGCTCTCGCTATAGAATATCGGCCAATCCCAGTCCAGTAATCGAATCCGTCACATCCGCCTCTCGTTGGCTGTCTGACTCACTCGGTTGATTTGTCTGCGCACTTTGATCTGGTACTACCATGACAATTTTGGGATGGAGCATAGAAGTGCCACGAGCGGAGGCCAGGAGGGATGGTAGTACAACGTGGGAAAGAAACCTGATTCATTAATGTGCGCCTGTATGAGTTGTGAGGTAGTGTGCGTGTTCGCGCCAATAAAGATCGTGCTTCATTGTCGCGTTGTTCTGTCGCTACAATAAGTCTGAATAAACCTGATATGATTTTACTCACGGAAACCTGGTGTCATGATTCTATTCCCAGCCAGCTGCTTTCTATCGAAGATTATAAGCTTAGTAGGAGTGATCGAAAACAAGGCAGAGGTGGTGGTTGCATAATTTACTACTCACAGAACCTCATTGTGTCTGAATTCATACTACACTTATATGCCCCACTATTGATTCCGCTTGGTTACTCTTGTCCTTTGATACTAAGCGAACTCTTGTAGGCTGTATATACCGCTCACCCGGGGCCAGCTTCAGTGATGAGAACCAGTTGGTTGACATCTTCAATTACATATTGGAACTTGGTTCTTTTGATAAAGTTGTAGGTGGAGATTTCAACCCACCAGATATCTGTTGGTCAAACTTAGTAACAAACGCGAAACATGCTGAGTTCATAATCTTCCTCATCACTGACGGTTGGGAGCAACATGCTCTCATGGCTACCAGAGGAATAAATACATTAGACCTACTTTTTATCTCAGGCACCACCCAGCTAGCTACTGATGTAACTGGCGGTCTCCCTGGATGTGATCACAAAATAGTCGGATGCAAAAGTATAGATGAGTCGTCATATGTGAGGTCTGCGATGGTTCCACACTTCCTGCGAAATGTTAATTGGGTAGATTTCTCCACTTTGCTTAGGGTCCAAAATTGGGACCATTTCTTTCTTTCGTCTGACATTAAGGGAGCCTCTGACATCTTCTATGACAATGTGACCATATGCTTAGGCATACTTGCCTCCGGTGATAATACGAGAGCCACTTCTAAGTACCCTAACAACGCAAAAGACAAGCGGAAAATACGAGTGCTAACTCGAACATTTGAACGTACTCACGACTTCAGTGTATTAATGAGACTCCAACGCCTCGTAATTGAGACGGACATGAAATACCGCACCCGTCTCATGCAGGAAGGATAACGGGCTGCAAATAGTAGTAACACAAGTCAAACGGTGACCGTATTACTGAGAAAAAGGAGAGGTGGCAAAACTGACCTACCCTCCCACATCGTCATGCCTGAAGGTGAATGCATTGATTCTCCATTTGCCATGCCGGAAGCCTTTAACTCATACTTTGCTAGATCCTTTAATGTTGAAAAAGAAACCCTGGATTTGTCAACCTCGTTTAACTTCTCTGAACAAGTCTCAGCGACCGAGCTTAGTGTTGCTACGATAAGACGTATGATTACCTGTCTACGAGCATCCTACACAACTGGCCTCGATGGGATCTCTTCTGTTTTAGTCAAACACGGTGGAGATGATATCCCTCTTATATTATTAAATATCTTCTCTTTGTCTCTCCAGTTTGGTCAATATCCCGAACTTTGGAAAACGGCTACGGTTATACCGCGACATAAGTCCGGGTCGAAAACTGACATCCGGAACTACCGCCCCATTAGTCACACAGCCATTCTCTCACGCATGCTAGAGAATTGTTAAGGAACACTTGGTTTCGTTCCTAATATCGCACAAACTTCTCTCACCTTCACAGCATGGCTTTCTGAAGTCCCGCTCGTGTGTTACCTGTCAAGTTGACTTCCTTAAACATCTAACTGAAGCAATTGACTCAGGTCTTCAGTGCATTGTCATCTTCCTCGACATGCAAAAGGCTTTTGACAGAGTCCCACACAAAAAGCTGTTATATAAATTAAGTAAGTACGGTACTACAAATCCGCTTAACTCTTGGATCCAGTCGTACCTAGTAGGACGGCCGCAAGTTGTGAATATCAATGGTTACATCTCTGCACCCCGTCTGGTTACCAGTGGAGTGGCACAGGGCAGTGTCTTAGGTCCGTTACTCTTCCTACTATATAAATGACCTCGTTTCTGTTATACAATTTGGGAAGCCTTATTTGTTTGCTGATGATTTAAAGGTGGGTTACACGTTCCCAGGTTTTCATCGTACCGATGAACGTAACAATATCCAAAGCGACTTGAAAGCCATTGAGAGATGGGCTAATATGCGGCAGATGACATTTGCAACATCGAAGTGTATTATTCTAGCGTATAGATGTCAGATGGCAGCAGAAGTGTTCAGGCTTCATGACGAAGTTATTCCCATCAACCAGTCTGTTCGTGACAGGTTTAAGATATTTTAGTTCGTTAAATTTTAGCGAACATACAAATCATATCGTGAAAAAGGCTAAGCAGTCAGTCGGGTTCATATGCCACCTGCTAATCTTGAAAGAAACCAGATTAAATACTTTCAAAATCAGGCCTTTGTTTGAATATTGCTGTGTTACGTTCAGTAACTTGCGAAAGGCTGACTTGAGAGCCATTGAAAACGTCCAATGCGCCTTTACGAAGCATATTTGGCTGTTCAACCGCTCTTTCATACAGAGATAGGTGCAAGCAGTTGAATCTTGAACCTCTGTGGTTACGAAGAATGCAATTAAATCTGTGGTTCCTCCACAAACGCTTGTCGGAAAGCAAATGCTGAAACCTATCAATTGCACTTTTGGGAAAACACCATTTATGAACTGCGAGATAATGAATGCATATCCTATCTACCAAAATTCAAGACTAGCATAAGGAGAAATTTCTATCTTCTTAGGTATGGCTCCATATGGAATAAGCTGCCAAAAGAGATTAGATGTATTGAACATTTCTGTATGTTCAAAAAATGATATAGGCTTCTCTGTCAACGGACAGAGCGAAATGGATCTTAAAAATTCAACTTGACCATGAACAGCTTTATGAAGAAGGGCCGGATCATGTATGCTACCGGAGAACATCGACTCGAATGCACCAGAGAAAACATGATCAGCTAGGATGAGCTGCTACAAACCGCTTCTTATGCTATTCCTTAACGCTACCTCCTATGCGGTTTTACTCCTTTCAAACTTAATTCATACCAACTGTCTTCTGTTTAAAACTGAGAGCAAAATTATTTACTGGTGGGGCGTCAGGAACTATTTTCGTTATTTTCCCCACAAATTGATTAATTCGTAACATTGTTCTGCGATTCCCTTCGCTACATTTGTTCGCCAGTGCTAATCATTTCCCCTTTTCTGAAGTTTACAGTCCAGGAACATATACTTGAATTCAGTGATGGAAATAACGGATTCCCTATGCGACTTTTGTCTATGGACAACTCGTACAGTCATCTGTCTCCGGCTGTGAGTTGGACTGGAAACGCGCTTTCCGAATAGTTTACAAGGTTCCGCCTCACCGAACGAAAGGTTACCACCTTCGTACGCTTGCGACAACTGAAGCAATATGCATTCGATTGTTCCAGCCGTCCTTATGCTCACAGAAGAAGCTGGTCCAGGCTCTCCAGCTTCCCTGGCCAGCGAAGAGGGAAGACGCCCAGGTCGACTGCCTTCGGTCAGACGCGGTAGCCCTAATTCGTTTTTTCCACTCTGACATAGACCTTCACGTGATCAAGTCATTTTGAACTAACGGTGTCGATTTCTGATTCTAACCTCTATATGATTGTAATGGTCTGATGATGAATCATTGAAAGCAATTGCTCACCAGATTGTCTTTTGTTCTAGCAACTGCAATTCGTTAGGCACGCAATCAGCGGAGTAAATTCGTCTGGCACGATAACCAGCTTTCTCACGAGCATCTGCTTTTATCGTATTTGTGTGAAGCTAGTGAAATGCAGATACTGCATGGACGATGTTAATTTCTTGTAGACAGACCTCTTAATCTGCCGGTTTTCTATGCGGTTGATAAGGATATCCAAGTACGGGAGGTAATTTTACTTCTTTTCCTCATATGAGATCCGCAAGTTTGCATGCACAGAATTTAGTTGCGTTACCAACTGCTCCATCTGATGCTCCGATGAACAAATTGCGAAAATATCAGCCACATAACGTTTGTAGTATGGCAGTCGAGATATTTCTCCAGACATATCTTGTTCTA